GCGCACATGATAGAGAGCGAAAGAGGCAACTGGTCTTGCATGACTTTGTAAAGCTAGTCGTGAGTGTTCTAACTACTATGGTCCTTTGAAGAGATTCATCCGATGAGATCTTCGCCTTCTCCTACTTTTCTTGTACGAGTGATCATCGTTTCGTTTCAACATTCGAGACGTACGTCTGGACTTGCGCTCGGTGTACCAAGGCTCGAGTACCCTTCAAAGATGGGCTAACCTCTCTAAGCGACCTGTCCGCGGCAGATGATCTACAGCCACCCGCCGATCATATGGGCCTTACAGAACTAGGTCGGTCAAGCCACAGGTTTCGCTCCGCATCATGCATGGGCCTCGCTGAAAGAAGCAGTGGCCGAGTTTAAAAGGAAAGGAGTCGTTCCCACCTTTACGATATTTGGAATGACCTTACCTGAAAATGAAATAATCCTACCAATTGACTTAGCATCCACTACTACACCGACCTATTGCGCTACCTCAATTATCGGGTAATTCTATTCAAGCAAAGAATTGCGTAGAAATCGACTCTTCTGTCGCTTGCTTCACACTAGAATTAGCGTGAACCAAAACATCAGCCGGTTAGGCTAAATTCGCAAACGTGGAAAGGCACGTAAGAAATAACTGGATGCCTCCTAGGGGGAGAATCAATAGTTTGCAGCCATAAACTGCACCTGATAGCACTACTTGATCTATCAAGATATGTTAATTCAGAGTGAACACCAAAACATGACCGACTAGTAGATCCTAGGACGGTCATGATTGATACGGACGCGTCTCAATACAAACCTAAATGGGCTTTAGCAAGAATAGAACAGTAGAACTCTCACCTACACGATAGCTACTGTAGCCAAATCGATTTGGTCCTCCAATATCACGACACCAATGTGCACCACAGCTCGTTTCACATTTCTCTCGCCTAGCATAACCACAACTAGTTTACCCTACCCCTCCTTACATTTAAGGTTTGTGTAGCATGCCACCATTCGGGGTTGCGGCCCGAAGCGTTCTGGTTACCGACAACACCCACAATTCAAGAAACATACCCATACATAACCGGAAAGAGAAAAACACATTCGACTCAGGGCAGGTAGAATGTGGACGTAGATCAGTGAAAGCTCCGGTGACCCAGAGCTGGACAGTGTAAAATTTGCAGATCAAAGCCAATCAAGAAATAGAAATCTGATTACTCGTTGGGTACATGCAGTGGACATGCTTTATCATCAGAGTATGTATACCATAGTCCAGCACACTGCGAGGAATGAGTCATGAAACGAAGACAAGACCATGCAGATGATGCATCGACATATGCTAGTTGAATTTTGCATGTCTCCGTGTCGCATGTTCATTCTACACTGTTCCTCCGCCACTATACTCTCCAAAGTGTAAAGCCTGTTTCTTACCCATTGATCAGCACCTTGCGCGACCTTTTCGACAATTCAGTCGGATCGCGCGGACGCACGCAGCACTACCTCGCAAATCGCGGGGTAACCAAACCTGAGGACTTAAACCTCGTTGCCAAAGCAAATTGCTCTGCAAACTTGGCTGTTTGGATACAATTGGGCCTCGTTCACGGCCGCGATGCACAGCGCTTTTCATGTCGGTAGAGGAACGCACCTCCTTCGTCACCACAGTGTCGTAGTGCGCATGACTCCACACTCACACCGTCTGCCTTCTCTGCTGATCGATCTCGAATGCAATTTCCCAGTCTAAAGTAAATCTCAGTGAAGATCATTAAAGCTGCATAAGAGCGCTGTCGACGAAAAGACAATATCAACCACAACAGCAAGTGACAAGACAACAATATCATGTGCACAAAAACGAATTGAATTAACTACTACGGAACTCCTTCGCCTTTCGACACAGTGGCGTGCTGTATCTTGACAGCCGTGATTACGGACCAGCTCATCACGATCTGCGATGCTCAAGCAGCAGCAGACGCTGGAAGCTCCAAATATTTGGATTACATCGAGTGACTTACGAGCTATTGTGAGACTGTTTGACGCTTGGAAAAGGGTAGTACGTCAGTCGAAGTTCAATGTAGCGTGGGCGCTGGCGTATAATGCATTTGCGCTGAGTCTGGCGCTGGGGGCGTGGAAACCTTTGGTGTTGGCATTGTCACCGAGTGGTGCGGGATGATATGACGGGTGATTGTGCCAGTGTGCTGGAGACGAGTTTCTGGCTGAGGTGGAGCTCAGACAACGAGAGGTCAGAGTCTTCAGTAGGCAGAGGCATCGTCAATTCCGCAGAGTGAGAAGGGAACATGGTATCGTGATATGATGTTGGGAACTCAGACATGCAAGTTATGATTTAGGTCTATATCCCCATAAACACACACTCCACACGTTCCTCGCATTATCATGCCCATGTTCGAGTACTCCAACCCCCTAATGGACGCGGGAATACACCGTCACCTGCCTCGGAGTCACCGTCACGGTGAACGGCTCAACAGCTGTCGATGTAACGGCCTATTTCTCGTTAGAACCTTGCTGTCATCAAGTTCAAGAATGATACTTACCACTGTAGCGTTGTACCTCGTAACTATCGAAGTGGTGTTGCTGGGCACAGGTGGCAGTGCCGAGCTGATAATGCAGCTGCACGCAGGTGTAACGTACACGCTCGACCAGATGTAGGATAGGTCGGCGAAGTGGGGTGGGAAGGGCACGTCGCGCTTTTCTAGAGCGTGTGCGGGTGGTACAGGTCGTAAAAGGGGCCGATGCATGACAGGTGCAGCTGGCGGAGGCAGAGCTGACACGGGTGGTACTAGTGCGGTTGGCACAGCTGGTGGAAGGAGATTCTGTATACCTGGCCGCGATACATTGAGAAAACCTGGTGGAGGTGCATTCGGAAAAGCGGGTGGTGGTATAGATGGTATAGATGGTGGTGCTAAATTTGGGACATCGAGCAGACCTGGGAGATTTGGTAGATTTGGTGGGAGCGGTAGATCCAGAGCACTGGGTGGGACAGGTGGACTAGGCGGAATAGGCAGGCTTGATAGATTTGCTACAACTGGTAGACGTGGCAAGCTTTGAACCGGTAGAGAGGGTGGGATGGGCACACTGACGACTATCGCTGGCGTGGCAACCGGTGCTGGAGTAATAACAGGCAGAGCGAGCGCAGCTACTGGAGCGACAGCCTGAGGAGCTACTGCGGTGGCGTTGCTGTACGGATACCTCACCCTTGTGCAACCGGTAGGTAGATCGACCTGACAGTTGCGGTCAAACCATTGGCTTCCACCCGCGGTCGCATTGAACAAATTAGTGGCATTGGGGCCAATTGCGACGTTGAAGATGCCGCAAGGGTTGCCGATTCTTCCATCCCAGCGGTAAGCCTTGCAAGCAGGACGCTGGAGGCATGCTTGGTGACATTCTTCGGCACTGCCAATGCCATCGTCCAACACTGACTCGTCTTCACCCTGTGCAATTGGACTGATGGTGCTGCTATCCCAACCGCACTCCATCCCGGATGATGGCAGAGGGCACCATACTGTCAAGCTTGGACGGCTTCATATAATAAGTCAAATGGACTCAATGTAGTGACGGTGTTAACTTACCTCAAATCGGTCTCTGTGACTAGCGGTTCATAGTACTCGACGCTAGTGGATGTTGAGATAACCGTTGAATTGACTCTGAACGTGACCACATCTGTCTGCCGAAGGTAATCTGAGCACCATTGCGAGGGAGTGAATGTAGGCGTAGCTTCCGCTGGTCTGATAATAGAGTGAGGAAAGCCTTCAAAGAGATACCAACCTCGCAATACTCACGGGTTTAGAATACGGCTGATTGTTGATGATAAGATCGTATTTGTACTGCATTCCGGACCCTTAGTCCAAGAACTTCGAAAGCAGTCTGAGCAAGAGTGAAAGGGATCGAAGGCCTGGCGTAGCTCTAATAGCTCAGCATTCGTGAACTGCAGCAAAGGCAGCAGTGAGAGGAGGAAGCTGTAAGAAGACATAATCATGAACTGTGGACCTTGTGAAGTCCACACTGGTCAATTTTCGTTCCTGCGCTACTGTGCTTGACCTTTTATCCCATAGCTCGATCTTGAGAAACATCTTTTGGGAAGTGGCTATTCTAGTGGTGTGGGTATTGACAGGTGGCACGAGCTGACATTCCTCGGCCCCGTGGTGATCGCAAGGTACACATAAGTTATGGGTCCATGATGATTAGCTTCGCTGCCCTGGCCAGGCTTTTCAATACTCCCATCGCCCACTCCAAGAGCTATGGGCAGTCGCTGGACAACTCGTGGAGACTACTGGCCACAGGGATGAGGAATGCGAGATGTGTAACAAGATATTACAATTTGACACAAACGCATGTGCCGCAGGGTCATAGATTGCGTATTGGCATGCAGTTTGTGCGCCTGCCCGTTGCACGTGCACAGCGTTGATTCGAGGCGGCTAACTCTCAGCATGAAGCTTGAATGGATCTCCTTTCTTTGCGCGTAAGTCGCGAAATACATCTCGCACCGTGCAGTCTTGCGAACGTGTATGTTGCGGTGGGATTCGCGTTTGGCAGGCGGAGCTCGATCAACGGAACCCCATTGTTCTCTTTCGGCACTTCATCACGTACTGTTAGGCGACGTTTGTGGGAATAGCTGTGATACGACTTGTCGGTGTTTTGTTGAGTTGTGATGCCCAGGATAGAACCATGGATCGCGAAGGGCGGGTACCGAGAGCGCAGTCTCGATCCATCGTCATCTAGTGTTAAGCGATTAATTGAACATTGCATCACTTAAAATGGAGCGCCTTCTCGCCTTCTAGTCTTACTACTGTCTTTGATCGTTGTTGGAATTGTGAGGGATCGTGAATGTCTCAGGAGGGGCCCGGAGAGGTGGGGTCCATGCGCTATGACGCAGAAGCGAGGGAAGCCACATGAAAGCTCCCGAACTTTTGCTACTCGACTTCATGAACACGATAAAAACTCACAATGCAAACAGCAAAACTAGACAATTAGTCGCTCCCCATCTTCGCTAGCCTCCTATAGACGATAGCAGCAATGTTCGGCGTCATCGTCTCGGGCAGACCGGTCCTCACCGACGCGCAAGCCGTCTCCGACACCCAATTCGCTTTTCAGGTCCCCTCGGTACCTTCGTTCTCGCACATTGTAGTCTTCCTCCTCCCGGGGACGACGTTGCCAGATGGCATGGCGGCTGCAGTATACGCGCAATTACCCAACACGACAGAGTTCAAGCTCCTAGGCGCGATCGCAAACGAGAAACCGAGCGCCATTTTCAAGGTCAATAACAAAGCGGGCGGACCTGCTGGCGGCGGCGTGGGCGATGACGATGCCATGATCGACGGAGCAGCCCCAATGAACGGCGCTGCTGTGCCTCCGCTGGCTTTAGGCATCTCGGTGGAGCCTGCGATGCAGGTGGCCGCCAATCTGGAGCAGAAAAAGGTCCAGGACGCTGCGAATGCTGGCGCAGGCAATGCGTTAGTCCTCCGACAGAACCCGGTCACGACGAAAGTTTTGGCGCAGCGCATTATCAAAAACTGCTACGACTTCCTCACGAGCTGGGGAAGTGGGGATACGGTACCGTTGAAGGCTTTCCAAGCTTGGTGGACGAAGTTCGAAAACAAGATTGAGCATGATCCAAGCTTCTTGGAGAGGAGCGACGGTGGATAGTCGGTCACGCTTACGACCTTCGCGAATACATCTTTGAGGAAGATACGCATCCTTGTCGACGGTCAAAGAGGGAAGATTATAAAGAGCATGGTTTGCGTAGAGCATCGGTAAACAAGCCGCCGGAAAGGAATCTTCGACAACTTCTCCTATCCCGTCCCCGTATCGCCATCTTGGACCAGACGCCAATCCACCGTCTCAAAATTCCTTGTTGACGCCTTTCCAATCCGGGTCTTCCAGATACGCCCTCAACAACCCTCCAGGCCACGACGCACTCGGCGCCTTCTCCGGCTTCTGGACCGCCTGCAGCGCAACCGCATCGCCCAAGACCTTCTCAATATCTAACCTGGGATACGTCTCATCCAATTTCGCCTTGAACTCAACTACACTGTCAATACCCTCGACATCCTTCCAATCCCCTATACTGAACTCAACGTGAAGCGCCCTCCTCATAAGCGTAGGCAGCTCGCCCATCCGCTCAGCAATCCCTTTAGATGTGTGCAGTGCAATCGTGTACCACACCTGCTGCTTATCCTCCTCGCTTACGCCGAACTGGGAAAGGTGCGCTACGGCCGCGTCAGCGCCTTCAACTTCGAAACGTTGGGGGCCGTTGTAGGTCTCTGTAGTGCCAATGTCGTGGAAAAGGCAGGCGACGAAGAGCTGGTCATGCTTGGCGGGGTTGGTGTGGTAAATGGATTTCTTGAATGCTGCGAGCATCTTGGTGTAGATGTAGAGGCGGATGCTGTGGTTTAAGATGGATGGGTGGAGGAGGGAGGCGGCGTGCGCGTAGGCTGCCTGGCTGATCTCGGTGGTGGGGATTATGGACGAAATGCTGGGTGGGGGAGCGGCGGAGGCATGAAGGGATGTGATGGTTTCGGGTGGACACATCCTGTAGCGTGTGAGACACAAATTAGAGGAATAAATGACTTTGAATGATGATTTGTTGCTGAACATCAATCGTGCGCGCCTGGATGTTATATGCCCAGGTGCCCAGGTGTACTTGAGTGCACGTGACCACGCCTTAAAGTCGGTTGACAAAGCAGAAAATGGTAGGATTCTAGAAGATATGGCAACACACGCCTTATGATCTAAATTTACTTAGACAACGGTACGCATGCATCTCCACGTTTGAGCAGGAGTTTGCACGCTGAAATGTAATCAACTTATCCGTTCAATCTCCTTACGGACTCAACCTCTCAACCACCCACCCATCCCCTCCTTCCTATACCTCAACCGATCATGCAACCTACTCTCCCTCCCCTGCCAAAACTCAACCATCTCCGGAACAACCCTAATCCCGCCCCAAAAATCCGGCACAGGAATTTTATCCTTACCATCGAACCTCTTCTCCACCTCTTCGACCCTTTTCTCCAATTCCTCCCGTCCGTCTAGCACCTGACTCTGCGGGCTCGCCCACGCCCCAATCCTACTCCCCCTTATCCTCGTATCATAATAAACCTGACTTTCCTCCGACGTAAGCCGTTCCACGCGCCCTTCGACACGAACCTGGCGCTCCATCTCGCGCCACCAGAACGTCAGCGCCGCTTGCGGATTGCTCTTCACATCCTTACTCTTTCTTGAGGTCTCCCAATTCGAGTAGATCACGAACCCGCGGTCGTCCAGCTCTTTCATGAAGACGATGCGCGCGGAGGGCTTTCCATCTGGTAAGGAGGCAGTGGCTAGGGTGACGGTCTCGGGTTGATACACTTTTGCGTCGAGTGCTTCTTGGAACCAGGCGTGGAATTGGGCGGTGGGAGAGGGGTGCAGGTCTGATTTGTCGAGGGCGCCGGCTTGGTATTGGACGGCGTGGCCGGGGTCTGTGGAGCCGCCTGTTGGGGCGAAGATGCGCTTCGACGGAGGGGCGGAGGTGCTGGCGGAGTGGAGCATCTTGAATGGTAGAGGGCGAGAGAAGAATGGTGAGCTGTAAAAGTGTAGTGTAGAAGTGCTTGTTGCTAGGCGGAATGAGTCAAGCAAGCGTTTAGTGCGGCGCGTTAGCATGAGTGGAGTGCATGCAGATGGGATAGATCCTGCAGGTGACTATCAAGACCCATGGAAAGATTATCGTGACATGGCTGTGTATATGAAGAGCAAGGAATTTTCTATAAAGATCTCAGTGAACAAGGTGGGGTGATGTCATGGATGTTAGCGCGTATCCACGGCTCGAGGATGCTCATGGCTAAAGTATATATCTCACGAAGCTGTGCGCTTTTAGAAAGTAAAATGCGTTTGGAACGTGCTAATGAGTACCTAGAGAAGCTCTCATGCGTCTACAAGCAGCAGATGAGAGGCGACCACACCATGTACACGTTGTGCATGTGAGTCAGCGAGCAGCTAGTCCAGGGTTCTCCCTTACTCGGGTGCCTGTTGCGACCCTGAAACGCGGGGTTCGTCAGCTTCCAAGCTTACAGCTTCACGACAGCTGAGCTTATGCGCCAGCATCTCCTCTACATTCCCACACCGTTGTACTATAATACAGAATCTCTATCCCCACAAGACTCACAAGCACACAATCATGACCAAGAAACCTTTCGACCCCTCCAGCCTCCAAGCCTTCGGCAACGCCGCGGCGGGCCAGTAAGCACCCCTCATGCTGCGCATACATCTTATACCTAGGTACCAAGGAATAATAGTACTTAGTGACGGCGTCCTATCCGACCCAACCGGCGCCGTTGTCGTCAAACCATGTACCCAAGCCGAAATATCATTCTACGAATCCATCGCAGCCTCACATCCCGACCTCGCCCAGCACCTCCCCACCTTCATGGGTACTCTCTCCCTCTCCGCCAACCAACCCTCATCCACCGCCGAAGAGTCCGACACAATCACCACGGCAGACGGCGCAGTCGAGCGACTACACGGAAAGAAGCTAGACACGGAATTACACATCGTGCTGGGGAACATCACGCACGGCTTCAAGAAGCCTAACGTTCTAGACCTCAAGCTCGGCGCGCAACTATGGGACGACGCCGCGAAGCCCGAGAAGCGCGCGCGGCTGGATAAAGTGAGTGCCGAGACGACGAGTGGGAGTCTAGGATTCAGGATTGCGGGGATGAGGGTGTACAAGGGGGTGCCTGCGCCTGAGGTACCAGAAGACCTGAAGGAGTACGCCGAGGCGGATAAAGAGGGGGGATACTGGGTGTACAATAAGATGTACGGGCGCAAGTTCGCGGAGGATATTAATGATGGGTTTGAGAGCTATATCCATGGGCAGGGGAAGGAGGGGAAGGAGCTTGAGCGGGCGAGAGAGGTGCTGGCTTTTTTCTTGGGCGAGGTCAAGGATATTACACAGGTGTTTGAAAGTAAGGAGAGTAGGATGTATTCCGCGAGTATACTGCTTGTGTACGAGGGCGATGTGGAGGAGTATGCGAAGACGAAGGCGAAGCTGAGGAGTGCGCCGCCGGTGGAGGAGGAGGGAGACGAGGAGGATCTGCCGCAGTTGGCGGCGGTGAAGATGATTGATTTTGCGCACGCGACGTGGACGCCTGGAGAGGGGCCAGATGAGAACGCGCTGAAGGGGATGAGGAGCACGACAACCATATTGAAAGAATTGCTAGATAAGACGGAGAAAGACCTCGACGCTGCTGAGGCTGCGTGAGCCAGTCTTTTAGGCCTCTCTTCTGTTGGCAGCGCGTTGGATCGTTTTTCGTTTTTCATTTCGTCTCATCTGAGTTGCTTCCTAGAACGCTAGATACCCTCTAGTACGAGTACATGCCCTTGCCACACATCAACCACGTTTCTCCAAGTTCCCTTCTTGTTCCGTGTTTTCCGCCGTGCCTCCTCTCCCCTCTAGCCAACCAAACTCGGCACATCCTCCGGCCACCTCCCCAACACCACCGCAGTCTGCGGCACCTGTCCCGGCTGCGGACTAAGCAGCTTGACCTTCCTCTTTGCCTCGTCCACCTCCGCAACATACATGTACCCCCTAACACTCGCATCCCGTATCGCCCCGTGCCCATCCGTTGCTCCCGCCGTGGTGATCGCAAGCAACTTATTCACAATGTCACCACTGGGCGCCAGCCTCTCGTATATCGACTCGCCGTTCGTGCCGCCATACGCATCGCCGCCGTCGTTGAAGTTTATACCCGTCCCTGTTGCCGCTCGGATCAGTCATTCCTCTTGCACATGCCAATAAAGACTTACCCTCAACGATTCTAAAAATGTTCAGCTCGTCGAAGCCTGCGGACTGTGAATGCGGTGCGAGTCCGGTTTCGCCCGTGCCGAAGAAGTAGGCTCGGATCTGCGCGTGGCGGAGGGCTTTCATGTATTCTTCTGTGCGGTCGACGCAGCCGCCGGACTTGTCGAGGCGGACGACGTGGACGGGATCGGTGAGCCCTTGGGTAGAGTATTTGCGGGAGAGGTCTGAGTAGAGGCGCTCGGAGCCGAGGACGAAGAGGACGTTGACTGTCGGTTGTTAGTGTTATGTTTTATGTTGTGTGAATGGGAGGATTGTAGGCGAATGGCCAGCCAGGGCAGGTTGTTGTAGGGAGGTGTAGGGATAACATCGCGACAGTGGACATCACACGCACCAGAAAACTCAGATATTATATGCTCTATGTTTTCGTATTGGCCCGCCTTCCCCTGTCCGATACCCCCGGGCGTATCAATGATAAAACCCGCCTGCTTGCTCGCCGGGTCCTCCTCCAGCCTGCTCGTCACCGCCAGCGCCATGCGCGTCACCAGCGGCCGGAACACCTTGCCCTCTTCCGCATCCCGCAGCCCGTAGTGGTACACGAGCGGCATCTTGACAGGCGTCGGACTAGGCCCTGATATCGGGCTGCTGCCCCATCCCTCTTCGATATCTATTATGGACGAGAAGACGGCGGCTGTGAGGGAACCCGGCACGGAGAGCATGCCCTGCCGCGGATCTAGATTGATGGCCATGGGCTGTCGGCCGCTCTTGACGGCATACGCGATGAGCGTCTTGACGAGCGACGTCTTCCCCGCGTTCTCTGGGCCAACAACGAGGACCCTAGGCCCGGCATCGCGCGTCTGCACAGCGCGCTCGCGCAGCGATTCGAGCGCGAAATGGGCATTCGCTGCGCCTATCATTTGCGTCTCCTCAGCCACGTACTCCGACTCGGCTTCACCGCCGACTTCGAGCTTGCAGCCATGCCATGTAAAGACAGCTCCTTTAGTGCCGGAGAATGTGTACGTTGAGGAGGGTGCGAGCTCGGTGCCGAAGTACTCTGCAGTGCCGGTGAGAAGCTTTATGGTGAGGGCGCGTGCGAAGGCGACCTCGAAGCGGTATTCGGTATTTGCGGAGAGTTCTTGTGTGCGGGTTGCGGAGGAGGATGGGACGTTGAGCGGTTCGGAGGGTTGGGCGCTCAGGTTGAGGCCAGGGAGGGCGAACATGTTGTCGATTTGGAGAGCTCTCAAAAGTTTCTTTGTCGTATGAAGGTTAGCTCTATACGCACAAACTTATGGGAGTAAGGTAAAGGTAGAGACCAGCAGCTCGTCTGACTACCAGTGGGCGAGTCAAAAGACAGTAGACATTGTACTCGGTATGACCTTATCTGTGTGCCTACGACGTGTGGAGTGATGCGCCCAGATCGGGTAAAGCCTGTGCGGTTAGTAGAGAGTGTAGATCCAGGGGAGCTGGGTCTTAGAGCAGTGTGTGTTGGTGAAAAGATTCAAAGCTGTAAGGTTGCGGAGAGCTACTGCAGGGTCGCGCTTGTCGATGCGCTAAACGCGCGCTTGAGGTGGGCGGGCCGCGGTTGGCAACAAGACACCTTGTCGATCCGCGATGACGGTATCTGGCCCGCTGTGGGCGCACTTCGAGACATCTCTTCCTTCGCGCTGCACGCATCCGTTCAATGCGCCAGTAGAGCAAAGCCAAGCATCTCCCGATAATGCTCCTTCCTCGCTGATCGTCGTTCCGCCCCTCCCAGTCCTACACAAACATTCTCCGTCAGCGTCTTACATGTACATCGTTTCCCGCGACTATTTGACATTTCCGAATCGAAGACGAGCGACCTACGCAGCATGAAGTCGCAAAATTATCGCCCGCACTTGGGTATATGGTCCCTGTATTTCTTATCGGCCAGCGCCGGTATCAGCGCCCAGATTCAGGAGCCACTCAGAGCACCAATTGACCCTCTAAAGTACAAGGCAGCGTGTCCGGACTACAAGAACTATGCTATGCGCCAGCAGTAAGCCTTCCAAACCACCGAGCAAGATTAAAAAATAATTCTTGTAGTCCACCATACAGCGAGGGCCCGCTTGAGCTCCCCTCCCAACGACCCTCCAAGTACTGCCGTACTTTCGAATCGCCGCTCGTCGAGAAGGTCATAGAAGACATGAATGAGAAGTTGATTGATAAGGACCTCGCAAAGATATTCGAAAACGCATTCCCAAATACGCTCGATACAACAGTACGGTGGCACGCTGATGGCACGGTCAAGCCCAAACCCAGCAGAAAGTCGTGGGACCCGGCTGCTTGGAAAGGCCCGCAGAGCTTCATAGTGACAGGAGACATCAACGCTGAATGGCTGCGAGATTCGACAAATCAGCTCGCCCAATACCAGTCGTTGGCAAAAAAGGATAAGGAGATCCACAAGCTGATTCTGGGCGCAATCAACACTCAGTCCGAATATGTCATTGGATCGCCATACTGCAATGCCTTCCAACCACCGCCTCCGAGCGGCCTAAATCCCACCCATCAAGGCGATGGCGATACAGTGCACCCAGTGTACGAACCTTCCTTTGTGTTCGAATGCAAGTACGAGCTCGACTCTCTGGCTCACTTTCTCTCTCTAGCAAACCAATTCTTCAACAACACCGGGTCCACTGAATTCGTGAACGCACGCTTCCTTCTCGCACTCGATACTCTTGTAGAGGTTCTGGAAGCCCAATCTCAGCCCACATTCGACGAGGACTCTGGTGTTTTCCACCGCAATGAGTACACCTTCCAGCGCCAGACCAACGCCGGAACCGAGACACTCAGTCTGGGCGGCGTTGGCAACCCTCTCGCCGGAGGCACTGGGCTCGTACGGAGCGCTTTCCGCCCTAGCGACGATGCCACTATCCTCGGCTTCTTTATACCCGCCAACGCTATGATCAGTGTAGAGCTCAAGCGCGCCGCTGTCCTCCTCCGCAAAGCAGGCAAAAAGGATTTGGCAAAGACCATGCAAGAATGGGGCCAAAAGATTGAAGACGGAGTCTGGGAGCACGGTGTGGTGCAGCACAAAACCTTCGGGCGCGTCTTCGCCTTCGAGGTAGATGGCTTTGGGTCGTCGATTCTGATGGATGATGCGAACTTGCCTTCGCTGCTGGCACTGCCTCTTCTCGGTTTTACGGACGCGAATAACGAAGTCTATAAGAACACAAGGAAGATGATCATGCAGAAGAAGGGTAATCCGTACTACCTCACTGGCGAAGATTTCACAGGCATCGGAGGACCGCATATCGGGTACCAACATGCATGGCCGATGAGCGTTCTCGTGCAGGCTATGACGAGCGAGAGCGACGACGAGATTATGAAGTGTCTAGGGAGCGTGAAGAACGTAAGCAGGAATGGATTGATTCACGAGAGTATCAACGTGAACAACTGGAGTGATTATACGAGTAAGAGTCATGCAGCAATCTGTCCAAGTGAAATTTGCTAACTTTGATCAGGGAGTTGGTTCGCGTGGGCGAATTCGGTCTTCGCGCAGACAATTCTGGATCTTGCGAAGCGGAAGCCTCATTTGCTTTTTGGAGAGGGCGCAGAGCCGTATACGTTGTAGACTGACAGAGCAATATTTTAAGATGATTGAAAGGGATTGATTGCTTCATTCTGAGTTCATTCAAGAATTAAGAATACGTTTTCCTCTATGCACTTGCGCCGGAAGGCTCTTTTGTACCTACCTCACGAGTCAAATTTGCCCTCTGACACGGCGGTACGGCGCGGAGCCTGCATGATTTGACTCCTTTTTGGCGCAGTGAAGAGGTCGGAACCACGTGGTGTCGAGTATGGTGCAGAATGGATAATCTGGACATGGGACGTCCGAACGTCTTGCATTTTTCTTGCCTGCGACATCATATAATCCACGTATTAAGTGACTTTATCAGCAGATCGAACACTTGGAAAGGTCGAAGAGTCGCGTAAGGTGCTAATTATTAGGCAAAAACCAGACTATAGACTTCGAAGAGAAAGTGGCGGAGGAACGTCGTCGAATCAATGCAAACCTGACGTTGAACGGTTTCGACTAGGTAAGTGCCGTTGTCTTGACCGGTTTTCCTGGTTTGGTGACCGCATGAGTGCTTCGCTAATCGCGAACGACCTATCATCGACTCACAGCCACAGAGCTTCCAAGCGGACATCATGATCTCAGCCGAGCTCAGCCTCGCAATACGCCTGCCTAACAAACATTTGATCTATCCTGCTTCGATGCTCAGACTCTTCTTTCTCTCTCCATGCAGTCCGATCTATACGACGTCCACATCCTAATTTTCTCATAACCGCTTCGCGCTTACCATATAGCTTCGCCGAAGGCTACGGACGTAAAGATGGATGCTTTCCAACATGACCCCCTGGATCATACGAAGTCTTCCCTACGACTGCTTTCGGTGCTTCCCGAACTATCGGCTGATGGATTGGCTCAGTGCATCATATATCATGGCATTATTGGCGAGGCGCAAGGAGCGGTCCTGCCATCGCTTGGACATGTCGACTACACCTGCTTGTCTTACGTCTGGGGAATGCTAGATTCGTCCTCCCTGTATTGGACCATCATCAATGGCAAAAAGATGGAAGTTCTTCGCAATCTGCACGACTTTCTCCACATCGCTCGCAAAAAGTACATTAATGATTTGATATGGATTGATGCCCTCTGCATTGATCAAGACAACCTTGAAGAACGAAATCATCAGGTTTCCGAGATGGGGAGCATTTATTCTGGCGCAAAAGAAGTCCTCGCATGGCTTGGAGCATGCGAAGTCAATCTGAATGCTCTTGATATCGTTCGAATCAGATTGCAGGCCCCAGGACCAGTTATAGCGCTCTATGAAGAGGAGTACAGGACTTCCGAGTTATGCCTTGCTCTTGATTCCTACTGGAGTCGGGCGTGGATTACCCAAGAGGTAGCTCTCGCACGTCGTGTACTGTTAGTTTTTGGCACGGCTGAACTCGACCTTTCTATGTTCGGCAAAGGACAGATCTTAGTTGTGGTCAAACAGCTGGACCTATGGGCAGACCGACATGGGCTTTCTACATCATCTCTTCTCAGGATCTGGGAATTGGCGACAAGTCAGCAAAGGAGAGAACGCGTTTCTAACGTGAACCTGAATTCCCGCGCCAATTCTCCCTTAATAGAAACAGAGGAAGCATGCTTGTTGACCATGCTATCTCAGTTTCGAAACAAGCAATGCATCAAACCGAGAGACCAGATTTACAGTCTCCGATCGCTGTGTGATGAGGGGTCACGGCTCATCATCGATTATAACATGCCATCGATCAGCCTTCTGCGCCACATTGTCCTCATATCAAAGCGATTGTTGTGTTTGTGTTCTGCAACAGCTTTGATCAAGGCTTTAGACATAGAAAGCCATCTGTGTACCGAGCTTTCCGATTCTATTCACCTCGAGTTTGTACGAGAAGGAACGGAAGCCTCATTCATCTGCTCTATGATGGACTGGGACCTAGATATGTACGGTAAAACGGTTTACGTCAATGCCAACTACAAGACCAACTACGAAACAAAAACAGGACTTTCAGGACCTGAAGTGGAAACTCTGAAAGAAAGTACAGCTCACCCGATCTCAAATTCGCAGAAATCAAGAGATACGGTCTACTTTGCGCGATTGTCCCTGAAGCATCTGCTGCGGACCACGACGGTTCTTGATCGATACCCAAACTTTTGTAACAGGAGGCCGGTGCGCTTTATAGACGTGGACGTCTCTCAAGATGTCACTAACCTTGCGACGGGGCTCCCGATCTTTTATTAGGATGCGACCGCAGCCAGTTTTGATATCTCCGAGCACAGTGGCTAAGCCCTCACTTACTCGACATGCTGAGAAGATACAGAAAATTGCATTACTTGGCTTTCTCGTGCTTGCTGCTACTCTTTCATACTTCTTATATTTGCTTCCTCTACGCTGGCCAAGGATATGTACTACAATTATCAATACAACGCAGACAATCATGACCGGTTCAAGAGACTGCATTCGAATCCTACACACCATCGAGAAACCCAGCTTCGTATTACAAGACCTGAACGTCACGGTGGAACAAACATCAAACATGGGTCAGCCTGGCTCGATCCTATCCACGGCGCATTCATGCATTACAGTCGAATAGAAGTCAAAACGTGGTTATCTCACTGAAGCTCACTTGAGACGAATTCGGGGTACTTATCTCATGCATTTGACTTCCGCAATGAAGATGAGCTCGAAAACTAGATTGTTTTTCGACGCTCGTGGTCCCGCAAGGATTCTCTTCGACCGCTGCATATTAAGCTCGCCAACACTGTGGGTGTACCTGATCGTCAAACCCAGAACGAATGTTGACCTTGGTCCCTATACTATTATCGAGCCACCCAATATCCACGAATCGTAAATGATGGAGCTAGTACTGCACCAGAACGTCACGGGCCGTAAGGGGCTTGCAGGGCTTGAGAAATATATCGCAAAAGACTTGCCCGTTATTGCGAAAGGTCTCATACTTTGTCGCCGATGTCTTGAGTTTGATAAGAGGGATGCGACATCGGAGGATGCGACAGCGATCACTCTTAGGGGAGGAATATCATGACCAGTTAGTTAGTCGTCCTCGGATGAAGATGTCATGATGGATGCAACCACTGGAGGTGAATGGGTGGGCGGTGAGCAACATTGGGAAAGGTTTCGAGTTTTATGATATTGCTGATGGTACACCCTTACTCTACTAAAATGGTGACGGTGGCAGCCATGATGCTTCATTTGTGGCATTATCTGGTGAAAATAGAGGAGAAATCAACGCGACAGCTTCTTCCTGCTTGCCATTATGATTACCTTTCGGAGTGGGAGGCGATCAAATTCGTTAATATCAATCAAAACGTCATTGAAAACCACAACGGCTTGCATCTTCTGTAATCTTCTGTGCCTCCAATGCAAGAAGTAGAAGGAAGTGAACCCTGCAGCCAATGTTACACGGCATGCCAGTGGGGTAATCTTACCGAGCCTCAGGTACATTCCGCCATCCACTACTAAGTCGACACGATGATATGCATGATGTATGCTGTCATCGTCGAATGCATGCGGTTTCATCAAGCAGCGCTGTGCCACACATTATACCTGCAAGAACATTCCCTTACTAGCAAGAGTTACTGTTGGGGTCGCCTGCTAAAAGTCTTATTCACTTCGGACCCTCTTCAACGGTAGAAGCACATCCCCATCTTTGTACTCACCGCCACCGCCGTCACCACCGCCGCCAGTTCACAATGGATACCTACAATGTTACCGACCAATATACACAGATGCTTAAGAGCCAGAAACAGACTTTGTTAAAGGCCAAAAAGCGCAAAGGCCAGCGACCCCACGATCGAGCGCCTAGAGAACAGATGTACCTCAAGTTCATGATGAGCCTCGTATCAATAAAACCAACCAAGCAAGGACGCAACATTCAATCATCATTCATCCCGCTATCATACCTGCCGTGTACTGCGCCTCTGGCCGAGTTGAAACGTATCGCGATTCGGGACCTACAGCTTGAGACGCACCACCGCGGGAAGTATCTCCCACTGCGAGTTATCACGCCACCTCATCGGATGACGGCGATAATGGTCTTGGCGGAAGATGACCTTGCGGACGTCATTATACTGCAATTGTACCAACAAGAAGCGGAGGACATCCGCGAGGCCAGTGACGCAGTCAACGTTGGGACGATCTTACTAGTCAAGGAGCCCTACTTCAAAGTGATGGCATCCGGGGAGTACGGATTACGCGTGGATCATTTGTCCGATGTTTCCCACGTTAGTAAGGACGATCCCAGGATACCTGCAACGTGGCGGCCACAGCTTCTCGAAGCAGAATGCTCAGCCCAGTTGCTGAAGACCAAGGGCAATACTGCCATGGGAGAAGGCAATTACTGGCAGGCAATTACGGAGTAAGCACTTCATATTTGTAGATGGCTCGTACTAAGCAGCCCGAATAGCTATTCGGATGCCCTTAGCCAGACCGTCGCAGCGAATGAAATCGAAATTATCAAAAGAAACAGATCCCTTGCTTTCCTGAAGACAAAGCAATACGATGCTGCACTCTCTGATACAGGTTTTCCTCACTTCGGCTCCGAGCCTAATGAGAAGGCCCTTTTTCGGGCAGCTGAGGCTCTGTACTTCGTCCGTCGGTATACGGATTGTTGCCAAGTACTTGAAATGCTTCGCTCCAAGTTTCCGGATAACAAACAAGCATTGATAGTATCTGAACGCGCTCAGCGTCGATGCTCAGAACAAGACAACGGCGACTACGATTTCAAGTTGTTGCAAGCGGAGGCAAAGAAGCTTCGGCCGCCACAACTAGACCACGCTACGTACATCGGGCCTGTTGAAATACGAAAGACGAAGACGAAAGGCCGTGGCTTGTTCTTGACCAAGGCAGTAAAGGCAGGAGATCTGCTCCTATGTGAAAAAGCGTTCGCTCACGCTTATGCACCTGAAAGTGATGATGGAAACTCGAAGATCACTTTACTAATGAATCCCGAAACGAATCAGGGGTTCATGGGTGGTCAGGCGGACCTTATCACGATGATCGCGCAGAAGCTCTTTCACAACCCATCTGTTGCTCCAACATTCACCACGCTCTATCATGGGAATTACGAAGGCGCGAGCACGCCAATGGTCGATGGAAAACCAATAGTGGACACGTAAGTGCTCATTCACAGGAAGCTGAAGATTTTCCTGTCCTAAAGATGATGTGTACTTACAGATTTCTGATCGAACGGATCATGTCTTTCAACGTTTTTGGTTGTCCTGTGTCCAGCTTGAATACCCATAGGGATATCCGGGCTAACGTTTCCAAAGAGACCACAGCTTACCATTCATGCGGTATATGGACCCAAGCGTCATATATTAACCACAGGTGTACCAGTAATGCCCGCCGCGCATTCATCGGCGATATGATGATCGTGCGCGCAACCCAAGATCTGGAAGCTGACACAGAAGTCACATTCTGGTACAAGATTCCAGTGGGTGACCACTCAGAGGACCCTCAGGAAGCGCACAAGAATTGGGAATTCGTCTGCGACTGTGCCATGTGCCAGGATGTCAAGAGGACCAAAACTGCTGTTATCCTAGAGAGAAGGAAATTATTGAAACAACTGGAGCACGCATTTGGTTCATCATACGGCATAAAAGCAGATCAGGTCGAGCGCCTGCTGAGAGCTTTAGATCACACATACACACGCCCTGCGATTGAGGTGCCTCGGCTCTTGCTCTGGGATCCTCAGTTGTTGCTAGCACGCGTCTACATCGCACAAAACAACATGAAGAAGGCGCTGGGATGTGTTGGCAAGGTTCTTTCCGCGCTCGGTTTCATCATAGACGGTGTGGATACTTCTTCTACGTACTTCAGAGTTGTCAGGTGGGGCTGTGTGATAGATCATCTGGTAGAAATATTTCTGCACGCACAGAATGCATTCAGAGCCATAGGAGCTGGGGAGGATTCAAAGAGGGCGAGGACATACGCAAAGTCTGCGTATAGCATCGTGGTCGGAGAGGACATATCATTTGAGTCGACCTACGGCAGTTAATAGTGTTAGTCTTTATTATGACTGGTTTGAAGGCTTACATTGTGGGATGACATGCTTGTGAAACCGTTTTCCAATATTGATTTCTAGGTGTTTGCTTCGGAAGCCCTCGCTAAAACAGAGTCAATTCAGTCTTTGCGAGTGAGACGCAACTTATGCGAACTTAGATGCGTGCAACACGAGTACCAGGGCAATCGCGCGTCAAGTTACGATCCGAATGGCACCCGGATACTGCGAAGTGACTAAATCTACTCGCTTCTTCGCTGTCATCCGTACTGTGCGCGTCGTGAATCGCAATCATGCTTTCCTTTCTACAAGCACGCAAACACTCGACTCATGTTTATCATATGATCCCGCTGCTAACAGGACATATATACCTTTTGGTTACTAACTACAACCAAGTAGCTACCATAGGTACCATGGGTACGTCATGCTTCTCCCGATACTTCTTAGCCCTCACCATCCGAATACCAGATAAAGGGTGGCCAGAGCAAGACGGACAGTCCATACACTGTACCTGAGGTTTCCATTAACATCGTTGAAACTCAAGACCAGCACAAGTTGACAGAAGGCGGACATGACGACGACTGCTACAATCACGTATATGACTAGAATAACAGAAAAAAATTAGTTCTGGCCACTTCTGGAGTAAGGTTAAGAGTGACATACTTACGGAGTGTTGTGCGCGCGCCGAGGGCGTTATCGTGACCACGGTTATGGTGATGGTCGGTTTGTGGAGCGTCCTTGCACGTATTAGCAAAGGCCAATTCGGTACATTCGTGGATGTGAACTTACATTATTTGAAGCCATGATATTCACGGATGTCTGGTGCCGTTTAGAAATTGAAATGCAAGGTCGATGAAGCGAGTGAGTGATTGCGAGGGCGTAGGGTACAACTATGAAGGGATATATATACGTGGTTTCCATGGTAAGCAAACTTGAGCTTGGTTTGATGGTCGCAGTGAAAACATTGCCCCCAAAACTCGACTATGTGAAACTCGGTTAGCAGTGAAAGCTATCACCTTTGTTTTATATTAACTCGGTGTGGTAACGGTCTTCACACATACTTCATAGACAATTACGCGTCGATCCGTATTGCCATTCAGTCAACACACACTAATCATGTTCTGCTGCAGCTCCCGCAACCGGAACGGGCCATACCATTCGCATCTGATGGGTTTTGATGTACCGTGGCCTAATCTGGGACATTAGGTTAACGAATTAACCAATGACCGTAAGCTGAAGACGACTGATATACATGGAAACATCGCTGTGGGAACAAGCGATTTCGTTTGCCTTCGTGACAACAGCAAAGTAAACATAGATAAATAACAGGGCTTCAAAATACAAGAACCATATTCAGGAGAAAGCGCCAGCGTACTCATAGTACCTAAGCTTGTCACCCCGTCAGCCCAACCCACCGATCTCGTTCGATTTCAGCCAAACGCTCCTCAATCTCTCTCATGCTAGCATCATTGTCATTCAGTCTTCTCCTCCCATTCAGGACTTTGTGTCCTAATTCGAATGCTTCATCAAGCCTCCCCATCCTCCAGTACGCCTCAGATGCATAAAACATCGAAGCCAAGGTGTCGCAATGCTGCGATCCCAATACCATTCCCCTCTTCATTACGACACTATGTAAAGTCTCAGCTGCTTCGGCATAACGTCTTTGTTCCAGATAGAGATATCCAAGGTTGTTCAAGATGTGCAGTGAGAGGTGATGATCTTCGCCTAGCTGCGCTACGTGCAACTGATATGTTTCCTTTGTGATTCTCTCCGCGCCAGCCATGTCTCCACTTGCGACATATATCTGTGCTAGATTCGCGCGACTTTGTATCGTATGCGGATGGTCTTCGCCAAGCACTGCCTTTCGGCCTGATAAGGCGCGTGTCATGACTTCGTATGCTTCGGTCCATCGGGAGAGGTGCTGAAGTGCGCATCCAATGTTCGCAAGCACCGAGAGTGTCTTTGGATTGGACAGGCCAAGTGTACCCTCCATGACGTTATAAATGTCATGGAAAGTGCCCAGAGCCTCTTGTGTACGACCTTGTCCGAGAATAGACAGGGCAAGGCCATGCTTTTCGTCCAGCAGCTTCGTGTCTTCATGTCCGTACATAGAGGTACAGATAGCTATTGCTCGTCGGTGGTAACCCTCGGCTTGGTCATGGTGACCTTGCGCTTGTAACGCTAAAGCTTTGCTTCTCAAGGCTCGTATCGTGAACGGTCGATGAGATTTTAGTAGGATCGTCTGTGATGAAAAAAGCTGTTCGACTTGGACTGCAAACATCGTGGGGCGGCCGAGGTAGTGGCTAAGCGTGGCGATACTTGATTCGCATAGGAAGGTTTCCATGCAGGATGGATGTGAGTGATCGGCGTTCGAAAGCCATCGTAATGCGTGTACTGCAAAGTGCAATGCACTTCTGTATTGTCCCATTATGCGGAAAAAATGCGACACGCGAAGTGCTAGAGGGGCAACGAAATCCCATGGAGATGATCCTGGCAAACTTGTCGTGCCAGCATGAGGAGAGTCTTCCGGGACAGGCCGATGATACTGGTAGCAGGTGATAGGCGACCTATCATGGTATGTGGACGTAGTAAGGTGAGAGCAATGGTAGTCGACACTCGCCCATTTTGGCGCATATTCTTCCAAGATGAAGAGAGCATGTGGCAAACAGAGCCCGCATTGTGCAAGCATCGAATACTGCTTTCCAGTTTCCGGAAATTTTTGTGATATAAGCTGTAGTGCACGAAGCGCGTATATTGAATAGATTTGGTGCTGTTGCAGGAAAGATCTGACACTCAGTCGGACCAATCTAGGGATAGTGATGGTTCCATCGATATCGTTTACCACAATCAAAGATGCCGCTCTCAGAAATGAGAGAGTCGTTATAAGCTCTGTGGCACTGTAGGTATCGTCAAACAAAGCGAGCGGAATTCGCGCGTTGCCAAAGCAAGCCATGACGGCAAGAATCTGTGCCGCATCTTCGTTCTGTTCATAGAGACTCCTCATCGATATCGTAGAGAATAGATGAGTATCTAAAAGTCCAAATGTATGAAAACCACTTGAATGCAATTGCGGAGGGAGATTGCAATCATTTTCTTCTTGTCGTCTGAGCACTTCGACATATTGACTGGCTGAAAGGCTGTAGATTCTCATGGACTCGGCAGCACGTATTATCGCCAAAGGGTGGCACTCCAGATGCCCAAGCAATGACTCGATGTCCTCGTCCCAGAGGGCTCTGTTGTCGAGGTGGAGTTTGAGCAGTTGGGTGGCTTCACCAAGAATCATGGGATCCAGAGGAAAAGTGAAGCGTTCATCTGCCAAGAGAACAGCAATATGCATATTACGCGTCGTGAAAAGTATGGACCCATTTCTGATTGGCAGTGACGCAAGCTGTCGTAAGACCGGATCTCCATTGGTTCCCGAGTGTATATCGTCGACGATCAACACCCATCGTCCGCCCCATACGGTGTCGAGCTTCACCAAAAGATCCTGTACCGTCATCGCTTGAGCATCAACATTGTCTGCGAGTTTTGCTCTAGGAAAGAGTCGGTCGTAGCTCCTCTGGACAGCAAATCGGTCACGTGCATTGATCCAAATAAAGAAGGTCTCCGGGTGCAGGTGGTTGAGGCGATACACGCACTCTTTGGCTGTCGCGGATTTTCTAAATTAGGTAGTCTTAGTACCAAACCAAATAATGTCCGAGGGTTGCTTATGGTCTAAGCGTTGATCCTGGGATGACTGACCCAGCACCTCTGACACCAAAAAGGCATGCGCGGTTGCCCGGAGCGACGAGTGCCCGGGATATCAAGTCCAAGGTCGAATCCCTTCCAATAAATGTTGACCGTGGTGGGAGGTTTACCAGCATCGCGGGCGGATCGGGCGTTCCTCGGAGGGTCGTGGGTGATATCTAATGATCATCACCAATTAGAAAGATAGGTGAGAGCCGCCTCACTTCTTCTTCACTTACTGTCTGCACGGCATCGTGATGGATCTTCTGGTAAGTCACTCTTGTGTGTGGTCAGCCAGGAACTCGTTCAAACCAATGAAGGTATGCCTTACGTGGAGAAATGCAGAATGAGACGTCTTTCACAGCTCTCTAACTCAGTCCGATATTTGGTAATCTTCCTAATCCTCTTCTGGTATGAAAAAACCCTGCGTAGTTTCCTAGTCTTTGGCTCACCTTCACTGGGAAGCAAAGGTGTGAGCAGTTCCTGAAGGGATGAAGCTATGCGATGACTTCTGCTGATAAGGTGCTGCACACAGAGTGTCGTTGCACCATTGGTGTCCTTTAGAGCCAACGATTGCACAAGGCTGCGATGCCAGTCCAGGTGTTCGATTAGATCCTTTACGGTAGCGGGAATCCTTTGAAGATCTGACGGGCAATCCAGTACGATCCTTGCCAGCCCTGCTCCATATTTTGCAAGCTGCGAGAAGGCAGCGACAGCACCAATCGCAACTAATGCTTCAGCCATCTCGAGTAGGTTGTTTCCATCCACGGATGCAATGAAGGCGGCGAATGTATGCTGATTATATCACGACTGACCGGTGAGCTAGGCTGATTTTCCGAGGTGTATGAGTAAAGGTGCAACGCCCTCCAGGCTGAGCAATGCTTTTCATGTGCGTGAGCCACCAATAGCCTCACGCCAACAACGAGTGCATATGCAAGTAGGCAGGGAAGAAAAAGACCTCGTAACATGGCTTGAACAGCACGCGATGCAGCTACAGGTTGCGTTGGCCGCGCCTGCGCATGCAGTAGATTGCTTTAACAGCTTACCTTTAAAGAACATCGCGTCTGCTTTTTGGCGATTGAAATGCAGGTGTTCTGCTCTACAAATTAAAGGCTCGCTAGATGCGTCTTTTCATCGGGCTGGGGTGAATTGTACCATGCTCAGAAGGAGAATGATGACTGCGATTGTTGCTTACATTCCGTCTCTGGAAACTGGAAGGACGACTCCGTTGCTGACATCAAAAGAACGTTCAAAGCGTGACACCTCACGAC